ACTCCCGCGAGAGCTCCTGGTCCGTTTTTTTAAGGCGGGGTCGGTGGTTCATTTTCCCAGGACAATCGGCCTCAAAGCGCAGGGGTTTCTGTTGGCAGTTCCAAGAGGGCGCGTGTCGTTTTGGGGGGTCCTGCCGTTTTACGCATGAGTGTTCCGGTTGCGGCGGCTCCCATCCTTTATCGCGCTGTTTCATGCGGGGTAGAGGCCTTCCCGGAGAGCATGCGGGTAAGAGGGACGACTCCAGTGAGGGTGGAAAGGATGCGGCCTTTCCTAAATAGATATCCGGATCGAGCAACCGTTGAGCTGCTGTTGGCTGGGTTTTCGGAGGGTTTTCGTATCCCGTGTAGTTTGACTTCGATCCCCCCTTTAGCTCGTAACTTACGGTCAGCCATGCAGCATGCTGCGGTGGTTTCGGCTAAGTTATGTAAGGAAGTGGGGTTAGGACGCATGGGCGGGCCCGTTTTTCTTGCGCTCCGTTTGCTGATCTGGTGGTTTCCCCCTTAGGGGTGGTGCCCAAGAAAGAGCCGAATTCGTTCATGTTGATTCACCACCTGTCTTTCCCGAAAGGGGGGTCGGTGAATGACGCCATTGATCCAAAGTCCTGTTCGGTGTCTTACACATCGTTTGAGGCGGCGGCGGTTTTCTGGGTTCGTCGTTATGGGCGCGGTTCGCTTATGGCAAAATCGGATATTGAGTCCGCGTTCTGATTGTTGCCGGTTCATCCGGACAGTTTTCGTTTTCTGGGTTGCCATTGACAGGGCTCGTTTTATGTTGATAGGTGCCTTCCCATGGGGTGTTCGATTTCTTGCGCGTTGTTTGAGCGGTTCAGTTCGTTCCTGGAGTGGGTGGTGCGGGATGTCTCCGGGATAAATTCGGTTATCCACTATTTGGATGATTTTCCTTGTGTAGGTCCGCCCGCTTCCAGAGTATGTGCGTTTTTTTGCTGGCCATGTTGCAACACGTTGCGGATCGTTTCGGGATTCCGCTGGCTTTGGACTAGACAGAGGGCCCGGCTTCTGTGATGACTTTTCTGGGCATTGTTTTGGACTCGGACGCTATGGAGTGCCGGCTGCCAGGGGACAAGCTGTTGCCCCTATAGGGGGAAATTCGTGGGGTACTGCGTAAGCGCAAAATTCAGTTGCGGTCCTTACAGTCGTTGTTGGGAAAACTGAACTTCGCTTGTCGCATCCTGCCGATGGGTGTTTTGCCGCCGGCTGGCAGTGGCGACGGCAGGGATTACTTCCCCTTTGCATTTTATTCGTTTGACGAGGGAGCATCGGGAGGACTTGCGGATTTGGCACACTTTTTTAGATTCCTTTAACGGACGGGCTCTGTGGATTTCGGGACCAGTCAGTAATTTTGACTTGGAATTGTTCACGGATGCAGCGGCTTCCGGCGGATATGGGGCCTTTTTTAGGGGGCGGTGGAGTGCGGCTCCGTGGCCTCCTGCTTCGAGACCAGTGGTTGGCTTGCTTCGCCATTTAGTGTTGCGTTGCCTGCAGCTGAACATTTTTCTCCATGCTGTGCATCTTCCCGGGGTTGAGAACACCTTGGCTGACGCTTTGTCTCATTTTCAGTGGGACAAATTCCGAGCGTTGGCGCCGGCGGCGGAACAACGCGGGGTTCCTTGCCCCGACTGGCCGTGGGAGATTGCCTTGGGGTCGTAGCAGCCTGGATCCGGCGGTCGGTGAGTGAGGCGACATGGTCGGCATACTCTAAGGTCTGGCGGGAGTTGCTCGACTTGTTACAACAGGTCGATATTGATCCGTGGGGACCGGAGGTGGGGGTGGCTGGGTTGTATTATTTGGCAAGGAACTTGGAACGGGGGGTGTCGGCTGCAGCAATGGATCGGCAGTTGGCTGGGTTGGCCTTCTTCTTTAAGCTTGAAGGGTGTCGGGACTTCACAAAAGATTTTTCGGTACGACAGGCTCTTCGTGGTTACCGTAGGGCTTATCGCCGTAGGGATTCCCGTCGTCCGGTGTCATTCAAGTTGTTAGGAATTTTGTTTGAGCATCCGCGCTTTGTTTGTTCTTCGGACTTTGAGGTGCTTATTTCGAGCAGCCTTTGCGGTGGCCTTCTTTGGGGCGTTGCATATTGGGGAGCTCGTTAGTCCATCCAAATCCGTCCTTGGGGGGGTTGTTGGGGGATGATGTCGTGAGCTCTAGTGAATGGGTGGAGGGGGTCGTCCGCCGGTCCAAGACGGACCAATTGGGTCGTGGTGCACGGGTAAGGTTTTTGCCCTTCCGGAATCACTGGTGTGCCCGTGCGGGCGGTTCGAGAGTTTTTGTCCCGTCGTCCGTGGGGGGCGGGGGGGCTTTTTCATGCATGAAGATGGGTCCCCGCTAACTCGTTTTCAATTTGTGTCAGTTTTTCGACGATGTTTAAAGGTTGTTGGTTTGGATGCGTCTTTGTATGCTTCTCACTCATTTCGGATAGGGGCTGCTACTGAGGCCGCCCGGTGGGGTTTGTCGGATGAGGCGGTAAAACGTATAGGTAGATGGGATTCCCAGCGATTTCGTTGGTACATTCGTCCGCATCTGTTGGGTGACTAAGGGCGGATCCCGGGTTTTTGTTTCTGGGCTGGGGGGAGTTTGTCCTGTCTCTATGCCGTTTTGTTCTTGTGGTAGTTATTATTCTTTTATTTCAGATGGAGCAGTGCGCCTGGTTTGGATCCTGGGGCACTCCTACGTTTTTTTGGGGGGCCAATGTGAGGCCTAATGGACGGCAGCTGGGGTTGGCTAGGCAGGAGGCTTGCGTGCGATGGATAGGTGTGCGGGGATGTTGTGGGGTCGTGTGGTACCTGAAGTGCGGCATTTTGCTGGCCTGGATAGGCCGCCAGATGTTCTGGTGTGGCATGCAGGGGGTAACGATTTGGGAGTTCGGTCCATGCGGGAGTTGGTGAGGGATGTAAAGATGGACTTTCTGATATTGCGGAGGGATTATCCGGAGATGGTATTGGTATGGTCGGACATGGTAGCCCGTGTTAGGAATGGACTGGCCAGCAATGGTGGGACTCACCTGCCTTTTGATCTGCAGTACCAGGGCTGGCCAGCGGGTGCTCCCAGCAATCAGAGACTCAACCTTTCAGCCAGCTAACACCTGGAACTGATGATACTGGTGTATTTAAGGGATGGCCAGACTTGCAGACTCTGCCTTGGTGTTGTGTTTGTCCTGGGCCCTGTATCTGTCCTGCTTCCTGTTTCTGTTCCTTTGCTGACTTCTCCTGCTCTGATCCTGGCTTGTGACCCTGACCATCCCTCTGTCTGACCCTCTGTACTACGCTGCTTGCTACCTGTTCTGATCCCTGGCTTGTGACCCGGACCATCCCTCTGCCTGACCCTCTGTACTATGCTGCTTGCTACCTGCTGAACCTGGCCTGTGACCCCGACCATTCTCCGCTTGCTCCCCCTGTACCTACCTGCCCAATTGATATTGACCCGGCCTGCCTGACGACGCTTGCTTGTATATACTGTTATCTGTGGGTGGTTTGGTTTGGTTTGTTTGCACCGTATTATGTTTTAGTATTGCACTGCGTTTATGTTTGTACTGTTAGTGTTAATAAATTATATTGTTTATAACATATCTGAGGTCTGCGTTTCCCTGCTTCAGTCACACACCTCTGGTCATACCTGGGAGCCCTGACATTACACCAAGGCCAATCCTGACCAGAAGTGGCTGCACAGGGAAGCCATCTTGGCTTGTTGATGGGAAGGATGGATCTTGAGGAGGGTTGAGTATTTATATCTGCTAGTGTTTGATGACAGGGAGTATGCTTATCAAACTCTGAAGGAGTATACCCGGGATGAATTGCTAGAATGTATACGGCTCGCTCATGTTCTAGTAGATCAGGGCACAGTGTTCTCTGAGGTGCAGCCATTGATTGAGGTTTGTGCTGAGTTGGTTTCATCTGGTTCCCCCGAATGCAGGGATGAATTTTTGCCACCATTTAGTGCAGACCAGGTAGAGTCCCTGTGTGGTTATTAGAGGATGATGTGTGTTACTTTCTGGAGCGTTATTCCACATGTTCACCACAGACACTGAGAGATTGTATAAACGCAGTGCAGTCATTGACCAGACAGACTTTGTGTAAGCTCAGCTTGTTCAACCCCTACTGCAGACATGGACAGATTTGTTGCACCCAGCCTCAGTCAGCTTACAAAGACCCAGTCCTGCTTCTAACTCTACTCCTGTATTCCCACCAGCTCCTCCAGTTACAGCCCAGTATACTTGGCTATCTACCGCATGTCAGTACCCTGTTCCCACTCGCTGCACCTATCCTGCCTTTAACCCTGTAAAAAAGCCCTCTGTAGCAACTGCTCCCCCTCTCCTGTTCCATCCTCCAGTTCTTCTCTGTCTCCAGCTGCTCCATTCGTTTGCAGACCTGCGTTTACTTGCAGTGCTCCAGTAGTTTAAAACCAGAAAAAAGCGAAAATTCTTTCCAACCAATACCATCCTGCCAGTATCCAAACCGGTGGCCTGCCTTCCGTGGTTCAGACTGATGCCTGTACGCAGCCTGAAGCCTCTACTCGGCCTGAAGCCTGTACTCGGCCTGATGCCTGTACTCGGCCTGATGCCTCTACTCGGCCTGAAGCCTCTACTCGGCCTGAAGCCTCTACGCGGCCTGAAGCCTCTCCTCGGCCTGAAGCCTCTACGCGGCCTGAAGCCTCTACTCGGCCTGATGCCTGTACTCGGCCTGAAGCCTCTACTCGGCCTGATGCCTGTACTCGGCCTGATGCCTGTACTCGGCCTGATGCCTCTCTTCAGCCTGAAGCCTCTACTCGGAAGCCTCTACTCGCCTGATGCCTCTACTCGGCCTGATGCCTCTACTCGGCCTGAAGCCTCTACTCGGCCTAATGCCTCTACCCAGCATGATGAACTGATCCAGCCTGACGATCCTATTAGGCCAGTTGACTCGATGCCCGCCGTTGATCCAGATGATCCGGTACCTGATCCGGTGCCCGCTGTCGTGCCAATTGACTCAGAGCCCGCTGTCGTACCTGGTGACTCGGTGCCCACTGCCTTGCCAGATGACGCGGTGCCCGCTGGCAAGCCAAATGACCTGATGCCTGGTGACCTAGTGTCCGCTGTCATACCTGATGACCCGATGCCCGCTGTCGAGCCAGACAATCCGGTACCTGATGACCCGGTGCCCACTGTCGTGCCTGTTGACTCGGAGACCACTGCCTTGCCAGATGACGCGGTGCCCGCTGTCGAGCCAAATGACCTGATGCCTGGTGACCCGATGCCCGCTGTCCAGCCAGACGATTCAATGTCTGCCCCGGTGCCCCACGGTCATGCCAGTTGACTCGGAGCCCACTGCCTTGCCAGATGACGCGGTGCTCGCTGTCGAGCCAAATGACTTGATGCCTGGTGACCCGATGCCCGCTGTCCCGGTCAGACGATCCAATGTCTGACCCAGTGCCCGCGGTCATACCAGTTGACTCGGAGCCCACTGCCTTGCCAGATGACGCGGTGCCCGCTGTCGAGCCAAATGACCTGATGCCGGTGACCCGATGCCCGCTGTCCAGCCAGACCATCCAATGTCTGACCCAGTGCCTGCGGTCATACCAGTTGACTCGGAGCCCACTGCCTTGCCAGATGACGCGGTGCCCGCGGTCGAGCCAAATGACCTGATGCCTGGTGACCCGATGCCCGCTGTCCAGCCAGACGATTCAATGTCTGCCCCGGTGCCCGCGGTCATGCCAGTTGACTCGGAGCCCACTGCCTTGCCAGATGACGCGGTGCTCGCTGTCGAGCCAAATGACTTGATGCCTGGTGACCCGATGCCCGCTGTCCGGTCAGACGATCCAATGTCTGACCCAGTGCCCGCGGTCATACCAGTTGACTCGGAGCCCACTGCCTTGCCAGATGACGCGGTGCCCGCTGTCGAGCCAAATGACCTGATGCCTGGTGACCCGATGCCCGCTGTCCAGCCAGACCATCCAATGTCTGACCCAGTGCCTGCGGTCATACCAGTTGACTCGGAGCCCACTGTCGTGCCTGGTGTTCTCGGTGCCCGCCGCTCCGCCTGGGGGCCCGAGACCTGTCGCTCCGCCTGGGGGTCCGGCACCTGCCACTCCGCTTGAGGGCCCGAGACCTGCCGCTCCGCCTGGGGGTCCGGCGCCTGCCGCTCCGCCTGAGGGCCCGAGACCTGTCGCTCCACCTGGGGGTCCGGCGCCCGCCGCTCCGCCCCGAGACCTGTCGCTCCGCCTGGGGGCTCCGCCTGAGGGCCCGAGACCTGTCGCTGCCCGCCCCGCCTGGGGCCCGATGCCTGTCGCCCCCCTCCTGAGGGCCCGGGCCCGATGCCTGTCGCCCCGCCTGGGGCCCGATGCCTGTCGCGCCCCCGCTCCTCCTGGGGGCCCGATGCCTGTCGCCCCGCCCTGGGGGCCCGATGCCTGTCGCTCCACCTGGGCCTGGGGGCCCGATGCCTGTCGCCCCCCTGGGGGGGGCCCGATGCCTGCTGCCCCGCCCGGGGGCCGGATGCCTGTGCTCCGCCGATGGTGGCCCCTGCCCGATGCCTCGCCCCTCCTGGGGGCCCGATGCCTGTCGCCCCGCCTGGGGGCCCGTGCCTGTCGCCCCGCCAGGGGGCCCGATGCCTGTGCCTCCGCCCGGGGTCCTGCCCGATGTGCCTCTGCCCGGAATCCTGCCCGATGTGCTCTGCCCTGGTGAGTCCTGCCCGAGTCCGATGTGCCTCTGCCCGGAGTCCTGCCCGATGTGCCTCTGCCCGGAGTCCTGCCCGATGTGCCTCTGCCCGGAGTCCTGCCCGATGTGCCTCTGCCCGGAGTCCTGCCCGATGTGCCTCTGCCCGATGTGCCTCTGCCCGGTGTGCCTCTGCCCGGTGTGCCTCTGCCCGGTGTGCCTCTGCTCGATGTGCCTCTGCCCGGAGTCCAGCCCGGTGTGCCGCTGCCCGGAGTCCTGCCCGGTGTGCCAGTCTTTGATATCCCGCCAGTTGCCAGACCTGGGCGGTGGAACATTTTGCCCAGCTAGGACTGTTTGGAGCGTCCTGAGGCCGCTCCTTGAGGGGGGGGGGTACTGTTAGGAATGGACTGGCCAGCAATGGTGGGACTCACCTGCCTTTTGATCTGCAGTACCAGGGCTGGCCAGCGGGTGCTCCCAGCAATCAGAGACTCAACCTTTCAGCCAGCTAACACCTGGAACTGATGATACTGGTGTATTTAAGGGATGGCCAGACTTGCAGACTCTGCCTTGGTGTTGTGTTTGTCCTGGGCCCTGTATCTGTCCTGCATCCTGTTTCTGTTCCTTTGCTGACTTCTCCTGCTCTGATCCTGGCTTGTGACCCTGACCATCCCTCTGTCTGACCCTCTGTACTACGCTGCTTGCTACCTGTTCTGATCCCTGGCTTGTGACCCGGACCATCCCTCTGCCTGACCCTCTGTACTATGCTGCTTGCTACCTGCTGAACCTGGCCTGTGACCCCGACCATTCTCCGCTTGCTCCCCCTGTACCTACCTGCCCAATTGATATTGACCCGGCCTGCCTGACGACGCTTGCTTGTATATACTGTTATCTGTGGGTGGTTTGGTTTGGTTTGTTTGCACCGTATTATGTTTTAGTATTGCACTGCGTTTATGTTTGTACTGTTAGTGTTAATAAATTATATTGTTTATAACATATCTGAGGTCTGCGTTTCCCTGCTTCAGTCACACACCTCTGGTCATACCTGGGAGCCCTGACAGCCCGCGCCTCTTGGCGATTGGCGCGGTCTGTGGAGCGGCTCAATAAAGCGCGGATAAAGGTCAACAAGGAGGTGGGGCGCTTCTTCATTCGTAATGGGGGTTGGAGGTAGATACCTGGCGGTATCTGCAGAGTGATGGGGTACATCTCAATGCAGTTGGGACGGATTTGTGGTCTCTGGATTTACAGGATGGTGTGCAGAGAGCAGTCCGTTTGTAGTGGGGCACGCATGGGTAAGGGCTTACCCAGCGTGTTGTGGCGGTTTGTTGGTCTTTGGAGGCGGGTATTATCTTGAAGGTACAGAGAATGGTGTGGGACCCATCGGTGGTATGGTGTGCCCGGGGACACTCCAGTTAACTAAGGTTTAACTGGAAGGTGGTGGTGCTGCACTGCGGACGGTAAGGTTGTCTCCGAGCTGGTTGGTTGCGGCTGGAGGCCTGGTGTTATATGGGGTCCGCAGGTGCATTTCAGATTATTTTTGGATGGTGCCTTCAAAGACCAACAACATATCTGTATGTTTTCTGTTATAAGGAATGGTTTGGTGTTTAAAACGTGTTGGTTAATAAAAGGCCGAGTTGGCCATTTTACTCCAAAATGGGTGTCATGTTTTTCTTTAAGTGGGAGTTATAGGTAGGATGAACCGATCTCTGGTGCACTAGTCATGTATACTGATATGGAATGGGTAATATGTTAGGAACGTAAGGATGCCCCATCGTTTGATGGAAATTAAAATTATCAAACTACAGAGGACTGAATTTAAAGACACCCCGAAAATCAAAGTGAAAAAATGATGTAACAGGCTAGTCCATTTTGCTGAAATTTCATTGCAGCAACTCAAAATAGTACTCAGTAGTTTGTATGGCCCCCATAACTTGTATGCATGCCTGATGATGTTTGGGCATGCCCCTAATGAGACGACGGATGGTGTCCTGGGGTATTTCCTCCCAGATCTGGACCAGGGCATCACTGAGCTCTTGGACAGTCTGAGGTGCAACCTGGCAGTGTCGGATGGACCGAAACATGAGATCCCAGAGGTGTTCTATTGGATTTAGGTCAGGTGAGCATGGGGGCCATTCAATGGTATCAATTCCTTCATCCTCCAGGAACTGCCTGCATACTCTTGCCACATGAGGCCGCGAATTGTCGTGCACCAGGAGGAATCCAAGACCAATTCTGGTGTTCAATGGCAAATGCCAATCAAGCTTTATAGTGCCGGGCAGTGAGCACAGGGCCCACTAGAGGACATCTGTTTCTGATTGTTTGGTCAGAGACGTTCACACCAGTGGCCTGCTAGAGGTAATTTTGTAGGGCTCTGGCAGTGCTCATCCTGTTCCTCCTTGCACAAAGGAGCAGATACCGGTCCTGCTGATGGGTTAATGACCTTCTACGGCCCTGTCCAGCCCTCCTAGAGTAACTGCCTGTTCCTTGGAATCTCCTCCATGCTCTTGAGACTGTGCTGGGAGATACCTTCTGGCAATGACACGTATTGATGTGCCATCCTGGAGGAGTTGGACTGCCTGTGCAGCCTCTGTAGGGTCCAGGTATCGCCTCATGCTACCAGTAGTGACACTGACCCTAGCCAAATGCAAAACTAGTGAAAAACAGTCAGAAAAATGAGTAGGGAAAAAAAAATGTCAGTGGCCTCCACCTGTAAAACCATTCCTGTTTTGGGGGTCGTCTCACTGTTGCTAGTGCACCTGTTGATAATTTCACACCAAACCAAACACCAAAGCAGCTGAAATTAATTAACGACCTCCTCTGCTACTCATCTGACCAGACCAATAGCCCAGGAGTTTAACTGACTCTAATTAAAAAGCGTTCTTTTAATTTTTATGAGCAGTGTGTGTATATATGTGTGTATATATATATATATATATATATATATATATATATACAGTATATATATATGTGTGTGTCACTTGTAGGTTCATCTATTGCCCTGGGTTGAGTACATTGGTGTTAAACGCTGTGTGACCTCTGGATTTATTATAGCTCCACACACTTGGGAGGTACAGTACATTTCTGCAAAGAATGTTATTTCTGTAATTGTTTTTAACAAGTACATCAATGGATTTAATCTTGATTTGTAGTAAGAAAAAAAACTTTATAGGGGAAATACCCTGTTTTTTAATATATGTTGTGCTGTGTGAGTATTTGATGGGCACCATTAAAGTCCCTTTACAATTAAACTCATGTTATTACTGGTGTATATTACACTTCTATATATTTTTCCCTTCCTTGCAGGAAACAAGCATTAATGTGTTGTTTCCAGCCAAACATGTTTTTCCAGTCTTTGTGTAAAATGTGGAAAGGTGAGAAGTTAGAACCTCTGTCTGTTTTTCAGCTCTCTGTGGCCTCATTGGGTAGATTTACATGTGCTTCCTGTTCTGGTGACAACATGTTATTAGGGCAGGAAGCAGTATAAGCGGTAGACAGCTGGAGCATGCACAAAAGCGGTGGTAACACTGCAGAGGGTACATGAGCTGCAGATTTTTGCTGCCGTCAACAAACAAGAAGGAGTCACTGGAAGGATCAAGGGTTTTTTTTCATATAAAATTAAATGAATTAAAAAAAATAATAAAACACACAATGTTACTGCTATTTTGTGTACTGTAATGTTTTTCGTGGAGGTTTACTGAAAATTTAGGGTATAGTTTTGGCTCTAAAGCGGTAATAAACCAAAAAAGCAAACATTTATTATTTTTCAGCTTAACAATTCTTAGATATGATGGTTGCATTAGTTTTATTTTTTAAGCTTTCTTTCTTTTATTTTTACCTGGTGATCCAACCGGTATGTTTGTTATTTTCCAAC